TATAATCGCATATATACTTTTCGTGTCTTTTGTCTTGTGTGTTGTATCTTCAATTATATAATTGTCTTGTTAAAATCAATTAACCATTTTTATTATTTTTAACTTTTTATTATTGCTTATAAATTATTCGACTTTTATTTTTTATCCAAATTATATAATTCCAAACTATTCTCATTAAAATTCATTACGCAATATAAACTTTTAGAAATATTTAAATTTAATATAACTTCTGGTACATCTACTAAAACAATTTTCCTGCCAAAGTATCCGCAAGTAATGCCCTCATTACAGTTTTCCAAGTCGGTGGAGATTATTTTATAACAGTGCTTTGTTAGTGTAAGTGGATGGCATTAATTGATTGGCTCTAAAATCGATTCCATAAATCAAATCAATATTTTAAGCCTCTTTTACAATCGGTGGGATTATTTTATCTCGATTCAATTTTCTCATGATTATAATAATGCTATAATATAAAATGAAACTAATATTTTTGGATTATTACGCTTTATTTTTGCTCTTTATCACTTTGCAAGAATTGTGTTCACGGTTGATACAGAGTAACCGAAACGTCAGGAGTATGTAGTTCTTAAAAATAATAAAATACTAGAAAATATTAGTCTCATTTCAATGAATTCTCTCGAAAGTAGGTTGGTACTAGATCTTACTAAAATATTAATTTAAAATACAATAGTCATAAAAAGGCCTACTCAAATTTATTTGCTACGTACTTTTGTTATTCAGTGTGGTATTTTGAAGAAAAGGCATAATAAATTCTACCTAATATTTATGGAACTCGCAAGTGTGATAGAAAGACGAGTGTCTTTAATTAAAACAATAATAATAAAGTAACAATGCTCTAAGTATGACTGATTTGTTAAATGTCGTATATATAATTGAGCAACAGGTATTTAAAAAATCTCTGACGTAAGTTTAATTGCATTATCATTGCATTAATTATAATAGATTTTATAGTATCTTATTCTAGAATCTTGTTTAATTCCATAACCGCACCAACTCTACTTTCCTATCATTTTAAAGATATAGATTTTCTTTGGAATAAATTGCAGCATTTTGTTTTAGTAATACCTAAATCGAATAATTTCCGAATCTAACAGTTTTCGTATTAAATATTACAAGGCATATACGCTGATGTAACTTCACAAACGCTTTCACGCTTTGAAGAAAACTTAGTAGTTATATTAACCATATTATTTGTTTGAGCTAATAAAGATCGTAATTTTTTATATTATACTTTAAAATTATAATCTAACATGAACACAGAAGCAGGTAACAAAAATATACACATTTTCTGTTTCTTTCGTGTATGATGTTTCTTCTATTTTACCAAGAGAATTTAAAAATCTTTGTCTAGATACTACAACGCTATCTAAGTGTCTATAGTATATAAACTTTATTTATAAAAATAAAAAATGATAAATGCCTTGGATTAGTAGTTCATTAATATAAAGATACATCAATGACTACATAGTTTTATATGCGGATACATCATAAATCTAGAGCTATTTTATTGCACTAGAACAGAGACAAAAGTATACTATTTTGACTTAATAAGGCTTAGGAAAAATATAGGGTACATATTGTTTAGTAAAAATATTCTAAACATCTAAACGACTTACAAGAAATTGATAAAACATAACTACTTATATATACCTAATTAGTAATGTATAATGTCTATATAATAATCAGATTTATGGAGATTGTTTCATCTTATTGTTATCTTTGTTATTAGTTAAATAGTGATACAAAATTTCAATACAAAAATGTACTGAAATAAGCATTATATTTGAGTTTTCATGATTATGCTGTTCATCTTTACTACGTTTAATGTTTTTATAGAAGTCGTGATACTTTTTGGGTTAACAGTTGTATTTGATATACTTAGCAATTCTTTAAATTTCACTTGAGTTAGAGAAATAAAATTATCATATATTCACTAGTAATAGTTGTCGGACCTTTTTCCTTCCTCTCGTTTATTTAAAATTATTGCCACAGTTCGGTTTTCTATACTTTTTCAAATGGGGTTTTATATTTTACTTTACTACCGTGTAATTTATCAAGGCTTTAGCATAAAGCTATGTTCTGGTAACCAAAACTAAATTTAGAACTACTTCTTCAATTCATAAGTTGGACTATCTGTTCATCCCAGTCCTTATGAATGCGTGAATTATTTGTACTTCTGGTTTCTTTGAAGTCCTTTTCCGAAAAACGCAATTGTATATACATTAAAAGATTAAGATTTTGACCAGCACAGTTTACTAAAAAGAAAGTAAATTGGTATTTTTAAGGTAAATGGGAAGCTATATTAGTATCCTTATTAATAACACCTTTGTCTTCACAAACTAATGTAGGTTTTCCTAAATTCAGTCTTTTACACCATAAAATATATAGGTGTTATATCTTTTATGTAAAGGTATTTTAATTTAATTAATTCACACTCTGAATGTTGTTTATATGAGTCTCCGTATTTAATGACGTTGAGTGCGAAACATTTTACGTGTTGAATTACATTTGATTTCGTTACCTTACTTATAATAAATTGTTGTATGATTTGTATGTATTAAATATGGATATTTTTATTAAACATATACAGTAAAGATTATATGAATTTGGTACTTTATACTTATAGAAAACGTAATTCTGTACATGGTGTTGCTCACGATAGTCTTCCTTGGTGGCTAATTCTAAGCAAAAGAGGAAAAATACATATAAACATTTTTGCTATTGCAATTCTCTGTCCATTGCTTTTTTCTTATAAAGTCTTAGTCTAAGGAAAAATATATTTAAGTTATCATTTCAGAGACCATTACAATCAATACAATTTGTAGAGTAATCTGATATGACCGCTTTGATACTGATATATATGCTTTTGGTTAGTAAGTAATATTATATATTCTGTATCTTTTCTATGTATAATTATTAAATATACCTAGTATAACTAGAAATAACATCATATATGTACTTTCTAAGAGTATTTAGACATCACTGATTAATGCAATCCCAAAGAGGTTTGATGTCAGGCAGGCGGCCGGTCGTAAAAACAATTAGCCAAAACTAGTCGCAATATGTAAGGCAGACCCTGGTTATAGCTGGGAAGTTGCCAGGTAAAAAAAGAAGAAGGAACTATGAATAATATCACAAATATTAAATGTAACATTTCACCGAACTGAAAAACATCAACACGTCTTATTGAGGAACTCACGTAAATGAAGTTATGTCAATCAAAATCCATTTAACAACGAATGGCACGCAATTCATCCGAATTTAAGACGTTTCATTTTCGACTTTTTTATAATACTGATTATTTTATTTACTTTGTCTTCTAAGAAAAATATGTAATATAAAACAAATCTTACAATAGTATGAACATAAAAACTATCTTAATATATCTGTATGTAAAAAATATCTTTCTGTACGTAGGGATCGTCGATGTCAAAATCATTTAAGAAAAAACGTTTAAAGTTTAAGCGAACCTACATAATATGTATTCGTAGGTTTAGCCCAATAAAAAGTCAACTGTAAATATGAAGAGGAGATAGTTATTCAAGTATTGTTTGTTTGTGTTCTTCAAGAAGACGATCATGGAAACAAAAAAGGTACAATACAATAGGCACGTCAAAATAAATTTGTATAAATTTGTTAAAAAGTAATTTATGTGAATGTAGTTTTTGAGCAAAGATCTATAAAATTCTGACATTATTAAGCCAAAAGAAAAGGATTTAAGATCTCAGGAAAGATTGCTATAAATATAACACCCTATAGTAGGTAACGAATTATAACGAAATTAACGAATTAACGAATAAAAACGAAAAGGTAATTTCAATGAAATGAATATTTGTTTCGATTTGACTCAAAAATACTGTAATATTTTATTTAATTCTTGACATATAGAAGCCTGTATTGAGTCTAGTTGTATTGCATTTCCTCAAATACATATAATATTTTAAAAATCGTTCATTAGTTTTGGTTTATAAGCAACAAATGGCAGGAAAATATCTTATGTAAAATATTAATAAAATAGTTGAATTTTTTCTTTCATAGCGACATATTTTAATGACAATGCTTCATATTCAAGCTGGATTTCGCTAACAAGTTTGAAAGCCCAGAGTAAAATATTGCAGGAATCTCGTAATATCGTATTTTACTAGCGAGCTCGGGTCTGCGGAATTTTAAAGAGTTTCTGTGATAAATTTTCCAACATTCATGTACAATGTTATGAAAAATATTCACGAAAAAGGTCTGGGTCAGTTATATGTGCTGCCTTATGTATAAAAGAAAATCCATTAAGTATAATAATTACCTAATATATGTTACTAATTTCAACTAATCTCGCAAAACAGGGCTCTAAGCAAACAGATGCGTGAGTTCTGTCTGTCTGTTTGTGTGATTTTTTTGTATCAAAATCTTTATTAAGTGAAACAGAAATAACAAAATTTTATAGGGCAATCTTAAAAGTTATTAGTTATTAATTTTTATGTTCGCAATACAAATGGGCGCGATTTAGGACACCTGTTACAATCTCCAGTCAAAAAGTGGGACGTTTTTTAACATCGGGAGTCGTAATATACGTCATTAAGTTACGAGCTTCACTTACGTTAAGTAAGAACTAAATGATGACTGAATGATATTTCATTAAAAATATATATTTTTCTATGTAAATAAATGATATAAAAAATATATATATAGTACATATTACAGTATGATAAAATTTAACTATGACCTAGTTCTTTTTTAAATATTCGTAGTTCTATTAATAATAATGATAATTTTGTATTAACATTTTCTATAACCGATTGATTTGCCCTCAATCATTATTTGTTATAATCAATCAATGATATTACATCGTTTATTAATGAATTTTAACATTTCAATCAGCGTCTTAATAAACAAACGGCATGCTCTACTTTTAAGCTTATACGTGTTCGCTAATAGGTTTTTCTGTTGCAGTACAAACTACGCCTCCGTCAATGAAGTGATTCAGAATGAATCTCGCTGTGAGATTTGACGAAGAAAACATGCCGGCGCCGGCGTCATGTATGAGCGCTGAGCATGGCTGCGTTATGTTCGACTGTTTGGTGCATTTGTGGGAATGGTAAGTGTTATATTTACAATACATTTATTATTAAAACCTATGTTAATCTATTCAGTTATAAAGTAATGTATTCAGCAGCTCAGAATGCCTAAGATTCTAAAGATTAAATTTCAGCAGTTTCAAAAATAGTCAGCGATATATTTTAGCGTGGTAAGTGAATTAAAATTCTAGACCGGTTCTATTCAAAGAGTTACGTTTACTACCCGTATCGATTTTATAGAATTGCTCGGATAATATCAACCTTATGCGACATTCATAGGTACTAGAATTGTGTGAAATATCCACCAGCCATAGTCCATTGTTCAGGGTGTCACTGTGATGAAAACTCTCGCTTGCCACAAAGTTGCATTCAACCGCCCAGCTTGACGTCGCTGGGAACATTTAATTTGACACCTGCTTACTGAATGCTTTCCAAAGAACATTTTAATCAAAACTTTGACGTTTTTTTATATTCCAAGTTGTCTTAAAACAGTTTTTACATTACTTTACTTTTAAGTTGAATGCCGAGGTTCTAGAGAATTTAAATATTCTTTATAGCTAAAGAAGCATACTGATTAAATTAGATTAAGTGCTTCTCGGAGACTCTGAAGAGGAAGCGAGCTAAAAGCTCATTCGCTTCAATTTAATTTGCTGCCTTAATAAAACGTGAATTATATAGTATTTTAGTAGGCATTAAAGCGGTGCTGATACTTCCTACAGTACCTAAGTGTAACTTCCAGGCATAATTAATAGCTCTTCCTATAAAAAGACGACACCAGACTTTTTTTACATGTCTCATGAGTTCTAAGATTTCGCGAGTATTCATTTAAATGAAACTAATATTCTTTGGATATACTACGTGTGCTTAATTTTTGAAAAATGTAATGTAAACAAGATGTAATCTCGTCTGCTAATCACGGTTGCTGAAAAGTAACCAAAACGTCGAAAGTATGTAGTTTTTTACAAAAATATAGCAATTAGCATATCCGAATCCCGAATAGCGTAGTATATCCGAAAAATATTAGTTTCATTTAGTCTCATGGCATTAAATATTTAAACTAGAACAAGATTATCCACATCCGAGATTTGTTTAGAACAAAGACACGGTTAACTGCGTATAATAAAACTACAAACCGTTAGTAGCACGTAATCTTCTCACAAAATAGGACTATGGCTATCTGATAATGAGTAACGGGAATGTCTTATCACCAACAAATGATGTTATAAATGTTTTGAATAAGGTGGATATTCTACCTGAGTATGAAGACAAAACTGTCTAGACTTATTGTGTCTATCTGAACGCTCTTTAGTGGTTGCTATGTGGTCATGAGAAATAGCACAGTTTCAATCTCAATTCCATTAAAATTAAGGTATATTATAGAAGTAAATTGATTTCAAATGAAATATCAATTTAAAAGGACAGATAGTAATAATTGTATAACAAATATTCGTTACTTTACTTATCCTTGAATGTGGCTAGTTTGTGGTAAAATCACAATCAGTACGCTTACCCCAATTTCGCATAGTTACACTACATATAAAGTACCTATAGTTTTTATTAATTATATATTTTTATATATATCGGATTTATTACAAATTCGTTGTTTTAAAAGAGAGGGACGCCAGCCTCGCTGACGTCTCTAATGTCACTTTTTCTAGAGCGATCCATGATATTTTAAAATGAAACTTCCATTTTTCTTAATGCTCCTGTATTTCTCGAAGGTTCGTCATAATCACATACTTCAATGATACGCACTCACTGAACTCTGAATTCTGAATTCTGGAGTCTGAAGTCTGCCGTCGTGCGTCCAGACGTCATATTTAGAACAAGATTTAAACATAGTTCTATTTTCCTTCTAAACAACCTTTGATTTCGTTTTGCTTTTAACAATAATCATAAATACGAATAAGAATTGATGACAGCCTCAAATTATTCATGTCGTATCCGTTATTAAAGCTGGTAGCGCCGATATATTTAATATTGACGTAGTTTATTGAAATAGAAACTGGAAACACTTTTGTTTCCAGTTACGATGAAAACGTGTGCTAAGCGTACAGGGGACATGTATATTTAGTCTTTGGTATAAACTTTTGGCAACGAGTGATGTCGTTGAATAACGATAGTGACGAAAGTAAAGTCATCTATTTTTATAACACTCTGATTGATGTCTAAAATGGAGGTAAATCTAATTTTGACAATACACATGAAAGAATTTTAATTATGATTTATTTAAACCATACTTTTATAAACCGATTTATTTCAGTGAGGTGATGAGAAATTTTTTGTTGAAGTTTTGAAAAATTTACGTACATTCTCTTTTAATTCCAATAAAAATAATATTATTATGTTTAGTTTAATTATAGTTTAGATTAAAAGAGGGTATTAGTTTTTTATTAAGCCTCTTTGAAAGTAGGACAGTTGAAAGGAATTTATTGTTTTCCCAGTTAAAGAATTATTTTAAAGAAACGTACACTCGGTGAGAGACGTGTATGGAATATTGATAGTTTTATTCTATTAGTCGTATTTATTTTCGTTGCAGCTTTGAGATTGTCGCTCAAAATCTGATACAGACGTCTTTTAAAAACATCTTTTAGTCATTGAAACTGTGTACGAGTATATATGTTATATATGTATTAATATGGAATTCCCATTTGGATTATTTTATGCATATATTGAGTAATAAAATAGTTCCAATATTTGTAATAGCGTTAAATCATTGGTATTTAGGTGAAATCTCGTCTTAGAACTTGTTAGTTTTAGGGTTGTCAAATGTGTTATTAATTTATTACTTCTAGAAATATAAAAAAAAGTAATATTGTTACAGCGACCCTAATTAATATTAGATACTTTTTTTCAAACTCGTAAAATAAGAACTATTTATTGAGCTGACATTTCAAATCATTGTATTAAACAGGAACGTGTATAGATTAAACTTTATAAAGCCTCAGAAAAACTATGTGGGTTAACATAACTCAAAGCGTTACAAGGATAATTAAATTCTTTCGTACTATTACAGGTTCTAGTACCGCCATAACCGAGCTTCATAAAAACTAACTTCAGTACGCGTAAAAATTTATAGTTCTTTGTTTTATGAAGACTGATGGTCACGAAGAAAACTATATCTACTCGTATAAGTGAAAACGATAGGGCTTAATGTATTCTATGAATCATATGACGAATTCGAAAGCACTCAAGTAGGCTGGTGTCCGTGATACGTGTTTTAGTACCGCGATGTGTCCAACTAGGGTCATTACTATTCATAGTGGAAAGAGGTTAGCAGTCGATTTGATTTCCACAGTCTTGAACCATTCGAGGCACGCGGTGACATCTGGCGTACGATTCGTTCCCTTCACTTGTTATAGTTCCGTCATTGAAGTAAAGTTTTTTTAATATATATATCTCTTTCTAGAATCTATATAAATATGTTGCAACGACACTCAAAAGCTGTTGTAGTAACTATGATGTTGTCTTGTATATAGCAATATTATTGACAAGCAACATTTTCTTCGGAATTACATAGAAAACGTGAAAGCTTGACAAATGACTTAATAGTTTTATTTATTTCCATAACAAAAAAGTTATGCACAGAAATAGAATTAAAGTTAAAACAGCTTGAAGTATTTATTGTCAATTATGTCAGAAATTGCTCAGTGAAGTTTTATTGCAATTACTATTTACTATTTCAAAGAAAGCAAGCGCCTAGAATAATTTATAAGTATTGCAAATAAAATAAGTTTAAGTCCACTTCAATATGAGAAACTATTTAACTGCACTACAAACTTTATGATTCATTAATTAAACCTGATTTCTTTCGATATTAAAATTTAATAACACTTGTATTAATAATAACGGATAAAAATCGTAAATTTATATTACAATAATAACCTTAAAGAGAAATCACGATTTTATAATAAAAAATCTGCCTACCTTAATCTTTAAAATAGATTGGCGCGAAGGATTAAAAGTTTGCCTATAATTTAAAAACTAAGATCTTCCCTACATTTCGATTAACGGTACCGAAGTGGAATTTGAAATTATATTGGCTGGCGGCAGTGTGATGAAATTGAGTACAAGATTTTTCACTTGTTTTTGAGAAACAAAGCCGTTATTGTCGTCGATGAAGCGTGGCACTATCCAACTAATTGGTAAAAGTTTAGTTTGCGGTGCCAATAAGAAAGCCAAACACTACCTCTGAATCATTGGTGCCAATGACTGATAACATAGTTATACAACTATATTTGGCAGGTTTCATATAATTAAAATGTTAATAATTATGTACAATATAGTAACGAAGATGGCTTTAATATGCCAAGTGGTGGAATTTATTAATGTGAGATTCCACTGACACCATAAACCTTTTTCAGTCAAATGAAGTACAGTGAGCTTTGATGAATTATTCAAATATAAATTAACGTTTTTATCATACTGACGTATTAAACTACACCGGAATCCATTGTCCGTTGGAGCCTTCGTCAGGAACCTCCCGTCTTTTTCACTCCGATGGAATTCAAATTGCCTTATCGGCACGCGGTAAAATACAGGTAAAACCGGTATTATATAGTTAAAATGTAGACACGGTTAGGTTCATAATGTTTTTATAGGTATAAAAGACAATTTTCATTAGTTGTATTATACATGTAGCTCGTGTAGCGGTGTTGACGTAATCTCCTATCTCTTTCTTTCTTGAGTGCATTTTGTATGTCTATCGCAGTATCCTCCCACCCGCCGCTAGATCGTCATGGTAGTCGGTAAGTACGTTACTACAACAGTAGACGGTGGTCGGTCGCTGGCATGTACCATTCGCGACGTGGTAACCTTTACGTTATCACACACGACAGAATCATAAAAGTAACATCCTAAACAAAACACTCGGAACCAACCAGTAACGACGTACACACACTAAACTGTTACAAAAAGTAAGAAGTGATCATCAGTTTAATAAAAATCTAACCAAAGTTTAAAGTTCTGTGTGAAGTGAATTGTGGTTTGATAGAAGTACGTTATAGCAGGATAACTTGAA